GGTGACGAGTGACAAGGCAGCATGAAGCTGTTCAGATCGAGTCTTGCAGGTGCGCATGATGATGATGACCTCGGCCACGAGCGTCACAAGTTCCTCCGAGGTGAACGGAGAATCGTCGACAGATTCACCTGAGACAGCACCAGCGTATGATAAACCAGGGGCGGTGGATGAACCTGGAATTGGCTGGGCCACAGCAACAGCGAGACGATGCTGAGCTGTCCGACTGTTGAGAACCATTTGGATACTCGCAGGATTGGCTTGTTGGTTGTTGACCGGAAGCGGGACTAGGTTAGGAACATGTCGACGGGGCTGGAGAACTGGCCTTCCGACGGATATTAATGAACTCCACTCGCTTGGGACATCCGCGATTGGAGGTTTGGTGGTTTCCACCGCAGTTGACACACGTTGGCTCGATGTCATAATTTTGCTCACAGGACGCAGTTGAGTGAGTTTCAGCACACTTGCCGCAGTTTGTCTTCATGTGGCAGTTTTTGGTGCCATGGCCATATGAGAGGCAGTTCATACACTGCGTTACATCTCGATGTTGGGGATTGTAATGCTCCCAACTGATGATGACCTGAAACAGGTCCAGGATTTTGGATCTCAGAGCCGCAAGACTGGTGGATCTCTTCGTGAAATGCACCAGGAACAACTCATCACGGAAGCTGGTGTTTTGGTTGGGACGCCGGTTCATCTGGAACACGGCCTCAGGTTGGAGCCCAAGGCGCTCCAGCTCGGACTTCACCGCAGCAGCCTCGAACGACGGTAATCCAAGCAAAACCACCTTCAGTGGCTTGCTCGATGGCAGATCATGCGTGAAGAAGTCCACGTTGTTGTTCTTCAGGAAACTTCCTATTTGTTTGTACTCCTCCAGGCTGGAGCACATGATTTTGGTACCGATGCTGCAAAGCTTGAAGCGAGGCAGCAGCTTGTGTTTTGCCAGTTCGGCACCCAGCTTGGCAATATCCTTCACCGGCGTGAAAACCGGGGGAATCTGCTCTCGTCTTGCAATGGGAACGGCGTCACCATCGCCATTTTCTTCCGGGAGTACTGCATACTGGTTGCGACGCGCTGGGCTTGATTAGCACCTTCTTTGAAGGGCCCGCTGCTGGCTCATTGGCACGTTTACGCACCATTTGTTTCGTGTTTGCAAGCTCAATTAAACTTGCCAGAACGCGAGAAAGTGGCAACACTTCCACGGCGGAACGCGACAGCACAAGACGAAACAAAATCGAATCGAGAACTCGAGCGAAAATACGGACTGAACTGCTCGACAGTCGAGCAAAGAATGTGAGCAAAGGCAGGAAAGCAGCGCTGTTTTATATCTTTTCAGGTTCAAGCAGAATGATGTGCAACCAAGTGGTATTCGTTTATGATGACTGGGTTTGGGGAAAATGTTTAGTTCATGAAAATAGTGATAAAATTATTATTTGCGCATATTTCAACAGTTTTTTGATTAAAAATTTAAAAAGTATTTATTTCAGCAGATTTGTTAAGTAATATCCTATCGATTGGCGTATTTGGATTTAAATTTCATCTATAAATGGCAAAGTTACAAGCGTTCAAAACCTAACACTATTTCACCACACATATTTTTTGATTTGCGCTCCAGTATAGTCGACAAAGACGTAGTTCTACGTAAAAAAAAAAATAATCTTATGCTGAACAATGAATTATTATATATTCAAATTCAAGTGTATTCCAAGAAAAGAAGATTATCATAAAATATTTTGATACATTCAACAAAGTTGTCTCAGCCCCAGGTTGGCAGGCATAGCTGTGCAACGTAGGACAGAATTTGTTTACCATTTTACCTCATTTGACTTTCTTATGCTACATGTTCACTAAACTTCCGTTTGCGCTGCAATGCCAATTTATAATGTCTCTGGAGTTATTTTAATAATTTGCATATCTTCTATAAGGTTCTATTCATTTTTCAAAAATCGAATTAATCTATGAAGTTCTTAGATCTTCAATGAAGCCCTTTAAATTTTCCTGAAATTCATGGAACTGCCCTCTTAAAGATCTCTGAACTTCTTTGAAGTTCTCTAGATTTTCCAGAAATGTTCAAGCACTTTATAAAAGTTCCCGCTATTCTTCTGAAGTTGACTTAATTGCCATGAAATTCCTTATTCTATCTCGAAGTTCCCTTAATTTTCCTGAAATTATGAAAACTTTGTTCAAGCTCGAGTAACTAACTAATCTTTCCCGAACTTCTATGGGCTTCCCTGAAGTTTCTTAAGTTTTTTAATGATCCGGAAATTATCCCGCTATTCATATAATTTTCCTGAAAATTCCGCAATGTCACTGAAGTTTTCGGGACATTTCTGAAATTTTCGGAATATTCCAGAATTTTCTTCTGCAATTTTCCTGAAGTGTTCTGATCATCTTCGAAATACTCGGAACTTCCCTGAATATAATTAAACTACATACAAACCTGAAATTGTCTATACTTTCTTTAAGAGATTTTAGATCTTCTTTTTTTTAACTAGTTCGTTTATTTGGAAGGCTCAATCGCGTTACCTTTACGGAGCTGATAGTTCATTGTTCTTTGTTTGTAACAAAATTCTCTTAATTCTATGTCTAATAGGAATTGGGCCGAATACTCGCGGCTTACTCGAGGTTAGAGAGGTTAATGTCGAAGGAGAGGATCAGGGGAGGAGTTTGGGGTTAAGGTTTCGTTGTCTCATCAGAGCGTTTTTGCCAGTATGAACGGTAGTGCGATTCTAGTTTCGTCTGGAGTTCGACCGGCTATGGTGACCAGTGGGCGACGATGAGACTCATCGAGACGGGGGGACAAAACAAACAAAAACTAATAAAGAGAGACAAAAGACAAAGTAATTATATTCTTATACTAGACATTTGAAGAAACACACAAACCGACTGCATATAGCAGATATCGTGAGTTCCCAACACGTCTCTGATAGGAACATAGGGTTGTCTTCCTTGGGCCTCAAGGGTATTCAAAAGTCGCTCTTTGGCGCCGTCATTATCCGTACATTGCCAAACTGCGTGATCGATATCATCGTAACCGTTTCCACACCGACAGATGTTACTGTCCACGAGGTTTATTCTATTGAGATGAGCATCTAGCGAGTAGTGGTTGGACATAAGTCTTCTCATCACGCGAATGAAATCACGACTTAAGTCCAAGCCTTTAAACCACGCTCTCAAAGAAACATTAGGAATAAGTTTTAGATCTTCTTAAAAATTCTCGGAATTTTCTTGAAATTAAGAGAACTGTCATGATGTTCTCTGATCTTCGCGAAAGCCCCGCATACATTTTAAACTCTCGAAACAGCCATTCACATTTTGGAACTTCCCCTAGACTGTTCTCTGATTTTTCATACGTTCATGTAACTTCCCTATCGTTTCCAAAATGTACATGAACCTTTCGTGGTCGCCGTGTTGCTGTTGCAAGTTGGGTTCGTGACATCGTTAGTTGGTGGTGAAACTGCTGAGGTGTTTTCCGTCGTTGGCAGGTTCAAGAGTTGGTGACATCGTTGGCTGCCGCATGGCCATTTGCTGATGTAGGAATACCCAAGTAACATTTTATGTTTTATCGTGGTTTTAAAGTGTTCTTCAAGTCTAAGTCATGGTCTTCAGAACACTCATAAAACCCAAATTGCTACTTGGGTATGCCTTGCTCGTTACTGTGCTACCTTTGTGTTGCTGGGGAAGAATTGCTGATGTTTGGACTTGGGTGCGGATTAGTGATCGTGCTGGCTGCTATGCCGATTGCTGAGCCTTAGTCGTCGTCATCGGCGTTGTCTGCATGATGACGATGATGACGATAATAGAGATGTACCAATGAAGTGATTGGTTGCTGTTGTTGCTGATGGTATGGATGACGATGATGATGATAATAGAGATGCACCGATGAAGCGGTTGGTTGTGGTCCAAGAGGGTTCGTTCTTAACTTATATATTATATATGAATTCTCCGAACTGCCCGGAATTTTGACCAATCGGAAAATACTGGAAAATTTCAAAGCAGCGACTTCAACGAAGCGGCGGGGCAGTCAAACACATTCAGCAAATGCGGGCAAAATGGAAGTAATGCGTTGATTTCGTGTCCGTTTCCACTGTGCGGGCGCTAATGGGCTCCATCAAGAGGAAGGTTCGAGATTTCGTTCTAACTGGAGAAATGTAACCATCTAATGCTGTAACTTTGAAGTTTTAATAAAAGTACTGTAAAACAACCCTTAATGGACGTTTTAAACTTATTGAATCTTGAATAACAGGTCTTTTTGCGCGTACCAATTTACTTTTAGTCAGCCTTTAAGTTTCCTCAATTTCTACGATGTTTCTTTTACTTCTTAGGAGTCCTTGAAGTTTTACGAAGTTTCCTGAAGTTGAAGAAAAATCAATTAAATAACGTTTTAATAAAATTTCTCAAAATTGTTTCTTCTATTCCAGAACATAAGGAGACTTTTTTAGAAAGGACTTTAAAAAAATCGTTGTTTGTGGTTCAATTTTATTAATCGCTGTTAAATAGTAACATCGAACTTGACAAGCCGCCGTACAAAATCAAATAGCTTCCTTTTCGAAAGGTAACCTGTTTGATTTTATCCATGTACAGACGAGGAAGTATGTTGTTCGGCGTTTACTTAGATACTTGCAGGCGTGTTCCAAAAAAAGTCCTCTGGATGCGTTCTTCACTGCAACTTGCAATTCATCCTGGAAGTCAGGGAATGTCACCGGTGGTCTGGCTTTTTGGCTCTCTCAACTGCCGCATGATAACTGTCCGCCGCCATAAAGTTGTGTCCGGACTCGAAAAATTTCAGGATGAGTTCCTCCACCTGAATATTGGAATTAATCAAAAGTATTATGTGAAGTGTTCTGAGGCGCACAATTATCAAGTGAAGCCGTAGCTCCTCATTATCAGTAGCAACAACAACAACAACAACAACAACAACGGGCCCTTATCACCATTAAATGTGTAAGCATACCGTCATCGTCTAAACATTATCGTTGGTTCGATTCCCAGTGTAAGTGCAAACGCAGCGAGCAATGGACGCAGTTGAACGAAAACTTATCGTAGAATTTATGGCCTCGAACGCCATCCTTCTGGTGCATGCAATATTGAAGACGTTCGCTCATCGTCTGGTAACGACAGGCAACAAATACGGACTGGTCCTTTCGAACAACAGTATCTTCACCGCTGCTACGAGACAGCAGGTATTTGAGTTCCTCGCGAATGTCATTAAATTGTCAGAAAACAGAAATGTCCACGCCACAGATGGAGACCAGTTGCTGGACATTCGCACTGAACCGCTGCAGAAGCTGGTCGAAGAAATGGAAGCACTGAACCTGGCGGTCATTCCTCTGGTCTTGGTCTCGTTGGAAGCAGACCGACGGTACTGCCTGAAGGAGTCGATTGTGGTGAAAGTGATTACTAGAGCCGGGGATATCAGCTATATGGATTTGGCAGGACGGTCTTATCTCAAACTGGAACAATTTTTGCAGCTGACTGCGCTTCCTTTCGGCATTCTGTGCTATTTGGAGGCAGACTGCGTCTTGGATGTAGATAACCAAAGATATGCTATGAAGTGCAAGATGGTAGGAAGGCAGCTAGTTTTCCAGAGCGTAGCGGACGGGCTATTGAGTTCATTCAACGTCGTTGGGAGCTTGGGACTGATGGTCGCATCCAGTAAATGGGTGACGCCGATTGGACTGTTGACTGTTGGATCCAGCATTTATCTGATGACGAGAGGAGTGATGGGATTTTTCGAAGTCCAGCGTCATGGAGGATTGCGATCGGTTTGTGAGATTTAATAAGATTACAAAAGCATAAAACTGAATGGGAAATTTTTCATTTCAGCAAAGAAGCACATTCTTCAACATACTGCTAACGGTTCTGAACTTTGCATCGGTCTTGTTTGTTAGCCTTCCCTACAGCATCGGGACTATGGTTCAGTTGAACGGCCCATCGAAGGCGTTGTTGAGTTTTTGTGCCGGTATGGATCTTTTGTGGTTGTTGGCAAAGCCACCACTGCATACTTACGGTTGGATAGATGTGTGATGATTAAGTATATTTGCTTCATGTCAAAAAATAAAACCTCTACTAGTAAACAATATCTATATAGGCAGGCTTGCTGAAACTCCTCAAACTCACTAGAGGTTTTAAAACACTCTTGTCCTGGGAGTTTAGCCAGCCCTCACCTCGAGTGAGTGGCGGCAGGAATATGGAAGTAGTAAACAAAAACTCCTCGAGAGAGAGGGAGAGTGAACTTCAGTGAGAGGATGATTTGACGTGAGGTGCGCTTTTCGAGACTCCGGATGACTTTTTTGTTCGACGCAAGAAGCTCAGAGTTCACCCAGAGTGTGATAGAAAACATGAACATGAATGGCAGCAAACCTCACTCTCATTTTATCCCCCTTCGCTCATAATCTCTGAAGCTCAGTGGAATGAATTGGCAGTAGGCATTCTACTCCTCAGAAAAATGCTACGCTCGGGTCATTTCAAACTCGCGATCGAGGTTCCATCAAGCCTGTATATAGGGGGAAAATCTACTTCTGTCTAAACGCCCATTTCCGGCCTATCGAGCAGAAAACATCAAATGCATATAGGGTAGAGAACTACTTCGGCCTAAACGCCCATTTTGGGCCCATCGTGCAGAAAACACAAAATAATTCCATGATTTCAGAGTTAACAAGTCAATTATGAGTTTGGTACGATACTTTAGTTAATAAGCTACCGAACGAAGTCAATGAGAACGCGTGATATGAAGGTTTGCACCCATAATTCCCAAAAACAAAAGAAGCGCTCCGACCGAATCAATTTTTATCTTCATCCGATAGGCCGAAGTGAATTCATTGGCGTTTCAATGGCGTTTCAATGCGTTAAGCCGAGTTTAGAATCCGTAGGCCGAGTTTGGCGTCAAGAAGCAGTGTTAGACTTTTGACAATATCTCAACGATTGGTTTCTCTTTATCAAGTTTTACGGTACGTACGGAAAGGTAAATAAATTTGGAAGCCATCAGTAATATTAACATTCCGTTTGGTGCTAAACTGCGATAGATTAAGAAAGACTAAGTGCGGGTTGTGCTTAATAGGCTGAAAATGGGGTAGTTAACCCTATCTATGATTTCGATGTGAACGTGTCAAACAAACGTTTGGTACGATGCTTCTATTCAATAGCTGCAAGACGAAATGTTGAAGAACGCAAAATAAGATCTCGAAAACAAAAGGCGGACGTGAATTCACTTTTCTCTCCGTTCGATAGGCCAAAGAGAATCCCAATTGCGTTTCAATGGCTAATAGGCCCAAAAAAAAAACCCGTGAGCCGCCAGAAGCAGTTTTGCATTTTCAACAATAAACGAATATTTCGCCGACCCCTTATCAAAACTAATGGTACATATGGATAGGTTAATAAATTAGGAAGCCATCTGCAATAATAACATTCCGTTTGGTGCCAAACTACGCTAGATTAAGACAGACTAAGTGCGGGTTACGCTAAATAGGCCAAGAATGAGGTAGTTAACACTAGTATAATTCGGTATAAATATAGAAAATACAAACCTAGTGCATGGACAATATAAAGTGAAAGATTTTGCTGTTGTTTTCATTTTGACCTAATATTTTTTTATCAAGCGTAAAAGGAGCGAAAATTCAGGAAAAAATCTTTAAAAATCTTATTTTCCTCGTAATCAACGGGGCGCAGTTCCAACCATCATTATTGGCTACACTAAGATTTTGTTCTCGTGTCCGGTAAATTTTGACCGAAATCAGAACAGCTGAACGTTCGGTAAAACTTGGACCTTCATTTTAAAGTTCATTGAATTAAAAAAATAATTTCAAAACATGGTCAATCTTGATGAACTGATCAAATCTTGTCATTTTAGTGGAGATTTAGTTTCAGCGTAACTGAAAAGCAATTAAATTGAATTGCACAAATTCTACCGAACAGTTCAGTTTTTCAGATTTCGGTAAAAATTACCGAAGTCGGCGATAATTACTAAGTGTGACACTCTGAACCTTGACAGGTCCACTAAAGACCTCATTAGACCAAGCTTGCTCATTACAGCTAAAATGTTATTTTTCGGATTTATGAAGCTATAATGAGCAATTGCAAGCCTGTATTAGACTCCACAACATCATTCGTAGGCATTACCAGCGTACTGGTCTGCCTCACCTGAAGACACAATACAATACGGGAAAAAATCGGATTAAATTTCCATGAATAAAAAATAATTAAATGGAAAAACTTGCAAACTTAACAATGATTCATGATTTCGTGATGAAAATTCATGATTTCATAATGAAGCGGAATCATGACCGCTACAAGCGTTACCTGGCAAACCGAGTTCACCGCACTACTGAGCAGTTCCATACAGATTCGTAAATCGGTTCGGATCGACCTTTTACGATTATTATGAAACTTTGCACAGTTTTTTGTTATTGCCCAACATGCCATTTTACATATATGGTTCCCTAGTTTTGCACACGACTAACACTTGAAATGGGCTTATGCAAAAATGATACGCATCAATAGAAAAATATATATCTCGTGAACGTTTTGTTTGATCGAGCTGGTGTCTTAGAAGAAGTTGCGGACAAGTATTGTGCCTTCCAAGAAAAAATGCACACTGTTAAAAATTATACTTTGTTTTACAAGAAAAAAATCAAAATTATCAAAAAAAAAATTAAAATTACTCAAACTGCATATTTTTGACGTAGGACTACGCCTTTGATTTCTATATGGGGGTACACTTTGTGAAAACCGAAAATGGAACATGTAACAAATTAAGAAAGATTTTGAACGTTAATAACTCATCTGCCCCTGGTCCAATTTCAATAATTTTATCTCCAATCGATCAGAAATATGGCTACGCATTGATAACAATGCTTCCGAATGTTGATTTTCAACAAGAAACTTTTGAAAAACTGGTAAATATCCAGCATTGTCCAAAAACGTCGAATTAACTAACAAATCCACCAATTACCTACATGCATATGCTGCTTCCCCAGCACAGTCGTCAGAAGGTAGTAAGTAGACGAAACAAGTTGAAGTGGCATTCGCCTCGGGCTCGTGCAAATATGGAGGATGGAATTGCGTAATACTTTGCACACTCATTGCCATATTCAGAACCAAACGCAAATTCTTTGAGATAACCACCATCCGTCGTCTGGCTCGCCGTGGCGGTGTCTGACGTATCTCCAGTCTGATCTACGAGGTGTGCTGAAGGTGTTCCTGAAAAATGAGATCCGTGATGCTGTCACCTACACTAAACACGCCAAGCGTAAGCGGCCATGGATGTCATCTATGTTTTGAAGTGACAGAGACGCACTTTGTTGGTTTCGGAGGTTGAATCATCACCAACTTTGGCAAAAAAAACGGCTCTTTTCAGGGCCTTTATTAGCTTATTACAGTAAAGAGTAGGAATAGAATTCATCTACCTGTTTGTCCATATTCAAAACCAACGACCACACAAAATGCTCATGTAATCAAACTGGAAGCAGGGGTATAAATTATTTTGATCAATCTTGATCAACTTTGATTCGCCACGGCCGGATATTTTCGATGGAAGAAACAACAATCTAGCATCTAATTCGACGAAGACGGCAGGAAACATTTGTGAAGCCGAGTTATTTACGAAAGAGAGGGTCGATGAAGAGAATCGATCAATGTAGATAGGATCTATTGAAAAGTGACGCGAGATTTGTTTTCCGTACTGAGCTCCAATGCTAGCGACGCCAGGGAGGCAGCTCCCACACCTGGACCCTACCAATCGACCCATCAACTCAACCGGGGACCAACGGCTTTACTTCCCGAAGGAAGGCGTGATCAGAGATGTTATGCCTTAGAACATGCCGGTGGCGCCGACTGAGATTGGACCCAGGCCTGCTGGGTTGAGAGATAATCACGCTAACCACCGGCGCCGATATCTTTCAAGGTGATATCACGGCGAATGAGAACGACCCAAATTTGAGTTTAGTTATCTCAGAAATAAGAAATAAAGTGCAGGAACTCAGCGATGAGTAAATTTGCCTCATGTTTTCCCAGGATTTCCAGGGAAAAATTCCCGAATTTGAGAAAAGTAAAGATTGGATTCACTCAGTCTATTGGTACTATTCCGAGACTGAATAAAATTTTCGTCAATTTCCTCATTTTCTGGCACATTTTTTAGGTTTTCCACAGGAAACCATGAGACAAATTTCCTCATCGCTGAGTTCCTGCTCTTTTGGCGATTATGAGTGAACTACACTCAAATTTGGGTCGTTCTCATTCGCCGTGTACGCAAAAGGAAAAGAACCAGTGTCGATACTTGATAGCAAACTACACATAATGGGAGGAGTCTTTGTAGCTTTTATACCACTTGGTTGCACATCATTCTGCTTTAACCTGAAAAGATATAAAAGAGCGCTGCTGTATCTGTATGGCATTAGCTCATTTTCGCTTCGGACGGCGTGGTGAACAGCAATAGCAGCAGTAGGAAGGTGGTGGCTAGATCGCTGGAGTCAGATCGCTGAAGTACCATCTAAGTCGAACCCTTGGTGAAGCGATACTGACTTACGAGGAAATGACCACAGTGTTGACGAGAATAGAGGCAACAATAAATTCCAGACCACTTTGTTCATTATTGGACGACCCTACCGATTATAACGCCCTGACGCCTGGTCATTTCTTAATCTTCCGACCACTCAACGCTATTGCTGAACCTGACTTGACTGATGAAAACATGCACACCCTGTCCCGATGGAATCGAATCACACAATATGTTCAGCATTTTTGGAGCAGATGGAACGTGGATTACATCAATCAACTCCAACAACGATCGAAATGGCACACCAAGGTTCCAGTGAGAGCAGGACAGCTAGTGATAGTACGAGAAGACAACGTTCCTCCTCAACAATGGTTACTGGGGCGAATTGAGCAACTTTTTCCTGGTAACGATAACATCGTTAGAGTCGTGACAGTGAGAACAGCCCGAGGTGTCTACAAGCGGTCGGTTTCACGACTTAGTATGCTGCCGATCAAGGATAACCAACCGCAAGAATCAAGCAACTTGAATCAATAACAGTGAAGGCGAAGTCCCGAGAAGTTTCGATAAGTCCACAGTACCGATGGTAATAAGGTGTTGAAAGCTCCCTTTCAACGGGGGGAGAATGTACGAGACCCAATCAACTAGTCCCGAGCGAGTCGACCTATTTCCAGCGTAGCAACATCCATTGACGACCACTGATGAAGAACATCGAATATGACTAATCAAAATTAGACGAGTTACGCGGAATAAAGATGAGTATACGATTAGACAGAGAAAAGGCTAGTAATTTCCCACTAACCCAACCTATATAAGCTAGGGAAATTAACATTCTGGAGCTTCTTGCTTATAAAAACTCGCTCAAATATAGTTGGTAAAGAAAACTACAGTAAACGTTAAACTAATTGTCCCGAGTAAAAAAGTGTTCCGAGAATAAACGGTGTTGAATGTTTCGATAAAAATTAAGTGTTTCGATTTGCGCGAGAGAAAACCAAATCTCCCTTCATCTATCCGGGAACCAGTTACCTATAGAAAAAATACAGTCCACTTATCATCGTTCCCAACATGCAGTACTCGTAATTCCAAAGCGATTGATTGCATTAACAATAAGGGCCTAGAAATTGTTTCAAAAGCGCGTTTAAGATCCAAAAAAAACAGCAACAATCGTATCTTTACACTCCAAGTTATTTTTCCACTTCGCTAATACCAAATTCAACGCAGTTTCACAAGAATGACCTTCCCGATATCCCGACTGTTCTGGTATCAACAAACTATTACTATTTAAATACTCCAACAGCTGGCCTTTAACAACAAGTTCTAAAATTTTCTCTAACGTGTGCAACATGTTGATGGGACGAAACTCTTCGGCTTTAATCGTTCCAGCAACTTTTTGAATAGGGAACACTAAGGATTCCTTCCAAATTTGTGGCACATGTCCATTCTGCAATGATTCATTAATAAGGTCCAGAAAGATGTGGCCAATGACATGAAAGCAATCTTGAATAACTCTAGCATTAACATTATCTACTCCAGCCGATTTTCCTAATGAAAAACAAATAACTCTAAGTTCATCTAATGAAATTGGGTGAAAAACTTCAAATCTACAACTACTATTAACTGGCTGTTTTATTTCGTCAGGTTCATCGACCAATTCAATAGATTGATTAATCAATGAAACGCTACCTACGAAATAATCATTAAACTTAGCTGCAATTACTTGTTCTGACTGTTCTAATGTGCCATTGAAAGTTATGGACCGCGGTTTGCAATTACTAGGTTTTAATAAAGACTTCAAAATTTTCCATAACTCTTTGCTGTTGTTTTGATGCTGATCAATTTTCCTTTGAACATATTCACAACGAGTTTTCTTTATCGATTGTGAATACTTATTACGCGCGATTGTGTACCTAGTCCAATGATTGTCATTATTAGATCTACAAAATTTTTTGTACCATTTGTCCCTTTTCCGTTTAAGACGTAAAAGATCCAAATTGTACCAGCTGTTCGAGTTTTTCAAAGAAACAAACTTTTGCTCAACTAGTTGATTGGTACACGTTTTCAAAGCGTTATTAAGAACAGCTGTAGATTCATCTAAGTTATATACGAGCGTCAAATATGATATAAAGTTGAGTCATAACAGTCGCGAAATATAGCTTAATCAAACGTACTTTTCGTCGGGCAACGAACTTTTCAGTCTCGGAGTGCTTAATATAACATGACATGTTTGTGTACGTCTCATCTTTTATGCCAATTGCGGATTGCGTCACTTGTAAAATTAGTTATTTCTAAGTGTGTATGTTCATGAAATCATGCGTCATTTTTTTCATTTCGAAGATGGATTTGTTCCCGTGAATTTCGGAAAGAATCTGCATCCCCTCCATCCACATAATGCTTACTGATAAGGGGCAACAAAGTTCCAGTCTTAGTCAAGTCATTGACGTAGCATTGAAAAAAAAAAAAATTGCTGATAACAACCATCCCCACGAATTTGTTTAAGTCTTTAATAGAGATTTTTAGCCATATGGCTAGTTCATGTCTTAATCCACTCTAATGAATACATAAAATCAGCACAAACGTTGTATTGCCTGAACTCTCTGACTTCACAAGAAAGTCGCCAGCCAAAGCGCCTAATACAAAGGTGGAACACAAGGAAGAAGTGTTGGTTTGTTTACTAAAATGAACTAAGACGATTGTATATGACAAGTTTTGCTAAAATCAATAATCCTCGTGTTTATTCGCCAAACTCACATCAAAGATTGATCACTTGCGTAGGAAATCAATTTGCCAAGGCATTTGTGACCAGCATACACCTTCCGGTCGTCTGAAACAGGTCCAAATCCTACCGCATTTTTTGTTTTGTTTTGTTTTACTTCCCGGAACTGAAGAGGGATCTTGAATGTGTGTGTGTGTGTGTGCGTGTGTATGGAGGAAAAAACTGAAGCTTGAACACCTTGACCATCCTTCCATCTTTGTCGTGAGCTCTCAAATACTCGAACTTATCAAGCACAGTTCAGTCTACCCCAATCAATCGTACCACAAAGAAGTACAGTCATGGAAGATCCCAGAGTTGCCGCATTCAGAGCTTCCGATCAGCATTCCAAAGCTGTTGAATTAATCGATAAAATGGTCCTCCGAGGACTAGATCTCGCTGTCCCTAACAATAAGGAACTTTTGAACAAGTTTACAGAAGCGCAAAGTGCCAATCAGGTTATCAATACGATCGCCCTTGCTACCGGGTTGATTTCATTCGACGATCTTGAAGGAAACGAGGACAGCTTGGAGACGGGAAATATCAATTTGACAAAGCCAGGACACAAACGCACATTGAAGATACTCGTTGGGCAGCTTCCTGTTGGCGATAGTCCCCCATACCGATTTGTTTTGATACCACTTGCCTTGGGAACGCAACCGAAAAGACTTAGGCAATCGAAAGTTTTATCGCCGGATGAAAATAAATGGGATACGCACTTGACATTACTGGTCAGGACTCAGACAAGTGCAGGTGATAATTGCTACATAGATATGGCTGGACGCGTCTATCTGAGTTTTCGGAAATTTCTTCAAAAAAACAAATTTCCACGGGCGGTGCTCTGCTATCCGCCAGACGGAACTATCGAACTGGATGATCAGGACCATGTTAAACTCACCTACGCAGTGGTAGGTGAAGCACAAAACCGAATGTTTAAAATGAATACTGCTGCTATAATTGGTGCAATATGCATTCCGAATGCGCCTATCATGACTTGTTTTGCGGCGTATAGATTATTCCGCGCAGGAAGGGATTTAGTTGACTGCTACGAACATGGGACGCTAAATCCTCTCAAGGTGATTTAATCTCCTAGTATTTTCATCACATTATCTGAATATTGCTTTCATATTACAGTTTCCGCGTACCATAGGCCGCTGGGTAGAATTGCTGATGTGTTTAGGATATTTTATTAACGGTGGTATACAGCTTTTCGATAGTTTTCAAGTGATCGATATTACAGTAGGTGGAGTGATCGGTGGTATTACGGTACTCGATCTGATGATCCAGGAGAACAGCTGGAGTAAAATGGGGTTGGGTGAGAGGACGAAACTTTCATTTTTCTTGTGTTTCAAAAACCGGATGGCTCCATCCTTGGAAAATGGCGAATGTGAACTGGAATGCATGAAATTGAAGACCTTATGTTCCACTTTTAAAAAGTATGTGACAGGCACCTTCAATATCGAGAATTTTAAAAAATTGGTGTATGACATGTCACGCTCACCCGTTCAGTCGACCATAGCTGCACTTTTGTTCCTTGTCAGGAAGCTGATTGAAAAGAACGCATCCATTGAACTGTCGGAGGACTTTGCCACTATTAAGATCGGGGATCGTAAACTGATGTTCAAGAGGATTGTACAACTCCCAAGTGAAGACATTAGAAAATTTGGAGAATTAATCGACCAACTAAACGGCGATTTTAGCAACCTAAGTTCCAGGCTAGCCGAATTGTTTGGAGATGGAAAAGCAATTCGTTTGCTAGCGTAATAAAAACCCTGTGCCATATAATATCCGATATGCAATACAATTTTTGCAAATACACTCAATCATATTTTTACACACAAAAAAGTGCCCATTTCGCGGTAAAGTAGGTTAACCCACTAATGGCTGAAGAGCTTGTACTTCAAATCATGGGGGACTTTTTATCCATTTTCAAAATTAATTGTATTGTGTAACAATTTTTAAAAATATATTATTGCTATTAAATCTGAAATTTGAAATTTATATGGAAAATACGGTTCGAACGACAACATTTATATGGGCGAATAAATAAAAATTACTGATTACTGAGCTTGGTTTTTATTGAACTTCAATTGCAATCATTACATTAATCATCAGAATCGTTTTCGTCAGCATTGATGGATTACTTAAATGATGAAACTAAACGATTGACCATCTGTCGGGTGCTGGTCGTTGTGATTTGGTAACACATGATCTCGATAAAATCAATAATTTTCTGGGCTGCTGCTGGCGGACGAATGTTGAAAACAGTGAACACTTGTGACGCGCCTGTAACAAGTGTAAGCGTTGCGTCCAAGATTGGTGAGATTAATCGCGTGTAGTTTTCGTATATTTAGTTATTAAATTCTAAGAAAATGTTTAAATGTTCGTAAAAGGTAAAACGTCCCAGAATCCTCACGAACGCAGCCAGTAGGAGACACTTCCCTATAAACTGTAGAACAATGCCACTAGCCACCACCAGAGCACGCTGTGTGTAGTCATGAATGGACGTCCATAGGGGTGGCGTAATCGGGCCATTGCGTGGAGAATTCGTGGCACGTACGACGGTTCAACGGTCACGGTTCGGGGTCATCGTCCACCAAGAGGCACAGTCAGAAGCCTGGTGATCATTATAGACTACGGTCACATAGCGTTTGATAGCGTTAATAGTTTGAAGGTGAAAACTAAGTGCTAAAGTGAGCTAAGTTGGAAGTTGAAGTTGAAGAAGTTGTAGAGGAAGCTGCCACATACCATTGGACAGCCAGGACCTCGCGGTTTTACCGTAATGCCAGTGAACTCAACGAATTTTCCGGAGTAGACCACGCCAATCGCCGATAGTGTGTCCGAATCGCAGTTCCAGAATCTGATCCCTCAGCTACAGTGTGCGCAACCAATCCAGGCAAGTCAACTTACCCTTGTGGTTCGTTGAAACCTCGAGTCCGTCACCATACTCGAGGAGCGCACGGGACAGGTAGAGGCGTCCACCCCTGGCCCAAGAAGGTGATGCGGTACCAGAGGAAGGAGAGGAACGACGACGGCAGTGGCAGGTGAAGGGGCCCCGAAGACAAAGAAGAGTAGTGCTAGCACAAGGTAGGAGTAGAAACCTAAGGAAGTGGGATACCGTCCGTGAAGTGAGTGTCGTCAAAACGAATAAAGTGGGAGTTTATCTTAAGTGAACTTTGAGTGTTTTCTTGGTTTGCGGAATAATCACGAGCGTGTGCCGACCCTGAGGCTTGGAGACGGGGGTCTCATCAGTGCTGGGAGTAACACCGCACTGGCACGTTACACGCCAGTGCGGTGTAACTCCCAGCACTGATGAGATTCCCGTCTCCAAACCTCAGGGTCGGCACACGCTCGTAACAATTCCGCGAACCAAGAAAACACTTCCCTAATAAACAAATACCATAAACGAACTGTATCCCGGATGGGTAAACTATCCCACAAATGGTTTGGATGATACCCCGAACACGTCGTTAAGCTCCCTTTTATGGTTATTTTTATTAGGGTTACGTTCACTACCAACAAAACTCCCACTTTATTCGCTTTTTGTTTACAAACACGTCTATCACGGACGACTGTCATGGTTCTACTACACAGCAAAAAAAAATGTAATATCGATCAACGTAATTCAAGCTGATGTATGAAATAATGATGTAATAGCAAAAAGCAGATACAATATTACATCAATGGATTTAATTTTGTTCGCAAAATCGATCTACATCATACAATGTGATATTACACCTGGATTGACCTGGTTGCAGCAGTTTCGATGTAATATTCAACAACTTTTTTTTGCTGTGTACCCACTTTCCTTATTGTTTACTCCTACCTTGTGCTAACACTACTCTTAATTTTTGTCTTTGGGGTCCCCTCACCTGCCACTGCCGTCGTCGTCGTTCCTCTCCTTCCTCTGGTACCGCATCACCTTCTTGGGCCAAGGCTGAACGTCTCTACCGGTCCCGTACGCTCCTCGAGGCTTCAACGAACCACAAGGGTATGTTGGCTTGCCTGGATTGGTGGCGCACACTGTAGCTGTGGGATCAGGTTCACGAACTTCGAGTCGGACACATGGACGGCGTTTGGCGTGGTCGACTCCGAAAAAATACGTTGATACCGTAAACGGTATAGTAAAACCGCGAGGTTCTGGATGTTCAACGGTAAGTGGCAACTTCCTCTACTTTTCCACTTCGCTTTACTATCACTTGAATAGAAAACTTTCTTGCGACAATCGTCTGCAAAGATCACCACTGTGCCTCTTAGAGAACGATGACACGGCCTCGAATTCGGATCTCATTTCTTTCGATTTACTATTGGGACATACGCCATCGCCCTCGATCCAAAAAATCGAAGATTTGAAACATCTGGCTTCGTCTCAGTGAATTCTTCAATTGTTGTGATTTTGTTGGCGATCTGTTAATCAAGTACATTGCCGTTGAGGTTGCTTCAGCCCAGAACCGCTTGTCCAATCCAGCATCGAAGAGCAAACATCTGGCGCGTCGTTCGGTTCATCCTTTCTGCAAGTCCGTTTTGTTGCGGATTGTAGGCAACGGAGGTCTCGTGACGGTTTTCACATACCTTCAAGAACTGCTCGAATTTATTTCCGACATACTCGGTTCCGTTGTCGGTCCGCAAACGCTTGATAGATTTGTCTGTCTGCTTCTCGACACACGCTTTGAATTCCACGAACGCATAAAATGCCTCAGCTTTGGATTTCAGGAAGTGTGTGTCATCCGGCTGGCATCGTCTATGAAGGTAATGACATATTTGCTTCCTCCTGGCGATGTCTTCTTCATATATCCGAATGGACCATCTCCAGCAATTCAATGGATCGCCTACTCACCGACTTGAGCGGTTGCTTGTGGGTGCTTACCTTCAGCACACTCGATGCACGTTGGTATGTCCTGGCCACTGACTTCCATCCCAGCAACCATTGACGACAAACGCTTCAAACTGTCCAGATTCAGGTGGCTGAACCGTCTATGCCACAGCTCCAGGTTCTCCCCGGGTTTTACCGTGAATACCCTGGATGGCTCGAACTGCTTCAGCTTGTATAGCCCATTCACCTCCGTACCGGTTGCTAACTCTCAAAATTTCCCCGAGAAATTGATCCGGTATCCTTTTCTTGCAAATACGGCTCACCGAGAACAGGTCGACCGCTAGGTCTGGAACGAACGGAACATCAGCGGTATCTAGAGTACTGCACATAATTTTAAAACGGCTTCAGCTTCACCTGGCAGTGCCCAAGCTTGTCGCGTTTGAAACATTTTACAGCGGACTTATCCTTCTTCTTCTGGAACTTCCTTTCACGAGTGGCTAACGCTCCGACAGCACCGCTTGGCTTGACATTGGTATCCATGGCGCCGTCTTGGAGAATTTTTGATTGCACTATATTTGTCATGAGTTTGATACCTGAGGCATACAGGCCCATGATCATGGGCTCGTAGTTCTTTGGGAGGCCCATGATCAGGATCAGCGATAGCCAATCGTCATCCAATACGAAAAAATTCTCCCAGCTTGTGGCTCGTGGACATGATTTCGTCGATGTACTCCTCGACGGACGAACAATCTTCCAGGTCCAGCCTGGTCAACTTTCTCAGACTGTTTCAGACTGTTCCAGGCTGTAGTCGTACGGTTCAATACTAAGCCTGATGGTTGCCAACACCCTGTCTGACAAATCCTGGTCAACTTGAACACCTTCCGGGGAATCTACTGCGCGCCAGGTTCCCTCACGGATCATCACCAACCGCATCGCAAAGGTCCAGGTCTCCCGTCCTTTGAGTTTCTGCAGAACCGGATGCGAAATACTGCCGCTTGGAATCCTCTCACTGCTCACCACAGGCACAGTGCCACCAATTTGGCCTGCAGTCTAATTTTCGGAAGGCTCCAAGTTATCTCCGGATCGCCTAGTGCTTCAGTTTCGGCCGGTAACAACAGCCGTAACCGTAGCGTGCAAGTAACGAATGAAGTTTTATTGAACAGTTATTCCAACGCTTACTATGTTCTAACAATAATGATTATATCAAGTAGGTTATTAGGTGTTTATTGATAAATAAACATAATGCAAACTTACCTAATCTCGGCTGACCTTTAATAGCGATAAGCTTAATCGAGCATAATACGCTAATCTCGCATTATCCTCGATTTTGCTAAGCACCATGGCACCTCAACTTAAAACAAAAAGAACGCAGTCTAAACAAAATCTGGCTTTGGAATCAACTACATGGGTCTTCCACAAGGCTCATGTTTAAGTCCCCTCCTGTACAATTTCTATGTCAAAGACATTGATGAATGTCTGGCCGAAAATTGCACGCTAAAGCAGCTTGCATATCACGGCGTGGTTTCCATGGTTGGACCAACAGCACCGGACCTGTAAGGACCATTGCAAGATACCTTGGATAATTTGTCTACTTGGGCAATGAATCTGGGTATCGAATTCTCTCCGGAGAAAACAGAGATGGTTGTTTTTTTCTAGGAAGCTTTATCCAGCACAGTTTCAGCTTCAACTTATGGGTAGAACAATCACTCACAGCATGTCGTTTAAGTATTTAGGTGTCTGGTTCGATTCCAAGTGCACTTGGGGAAAACACATAGCGTATCTGAGGCAGAGATGCCAACAGCGAATCAATTTCCTTCGTTCCATTACCGGCACTTCATGGGGAGCCCATCCGGAAGATCTGATAAGACTCTACAAGACCACCATACTCTCGATTTTGGAGTACGGTAGTTTTTGCTTTCAATCGGCGGCGGGGACGCACATATTGAAGCTCCAAAGGATTCAATATCGTTGCATTCGAATCGCTCTAGGTTGTATGCCATCGACGCATACCATGAGTCTTGAAGTTCTTGCGGGCGCCCTCCCCTTAACAAATCGTTTTGTGGATTTATCGTTCCGGTTCCTCATCGGCTGTGAAGTCATGAACCCGCTGATGATCGAAAACTTTGAAAAACTGCTAGAGCGGAATCCTCAAACACAATTCATGAGCTTGTACTACGAGTACATGACTCTGGACATCGGCCCCTCCTCGTTCAACCCCAATCGCGATGTCTCCCATCATTTCAGTTGTTCTTCCGTGAGATTCGATCTCACAATGAGGCAGGAGATTCAAGGAATTCCAGAGCCTCACCGTTCTCTGATTGTCCCAACTATTTTTGCGAACAAATACCGCCACCGAGGAGAGATTTTTCACAGATCGGTCGGTGATAAATGCGTCCACCGGTTTTGGAGTATTCCACGAACTTCATAGCGCCTCATACAAGCTTCAAAAGCCGTGTTCGGTATACGTTGCTGAACTAGCAGCTATATCGTACACGTTAGAGCGTATTGCCTCACTTCCACCTGTCCATTATTTTATTTTTACGGATAGCCTAAGCTCCCTGGAGGCTATGCGTTCAATGAGGCCGATGAAGCACTCGGTGTATTTCCTCCAGGAAATACGATCGTCATTGAGTGCTTTATCAAACAGCTCGCATATCATCACCTTGGTATGGGTCCCTTCTCATTGCTCTATCCCAGGCAATGAGAAAGCGGACTCGCTGGCTAAGGTGGGCGCTATGGAAGGCGATATTTACTAGCGACAAATCGCCTACCACGAATTTTTCACGATTTCTCGTCAGCAAGTCCTCGCCAACTGGCAACAAAAGTGGAATGATGGTGATCTGTGAAGATGGCTACATTCTATTGTCCCAAAGGTGTCGATCAAACCATGGTTCAAAGGGTTGGATATGAGTCGTGATTTTATTCGTGTAATGTCCAGGTTCATGTCCAATCACTGTTCGTTAAACGCCCACCTCTTCCGTATTACACTTGCCAACAGCAACTTGTGTACCTGTGGAAACGGTTATCACGACATCGAGCATGTTGTTTGGTCCTGCTCCTTGCATCATGAGGCGAGATCCGTTCTGTGTGATTCCCTTAGCGTCCGAGGAAAACAACCCTTTAAGCCAATTAGAGACGTCTTGGCTTGCCGTGATATCGTCCTTATGAAGCTTATTTACGACTTTCTTAAAGCTGTTGATGTATGTGTTTAATGTTTTGTGTTTTAGTCATTCTTTACATTT